AGTCATTGTACAGAGCGGTAGACATCCTCAGTATGTCGAGGAGAGGATAGACGCATTCATGGAGTCGATGTTGGAGCGATTGGTCGATATGCCGGATGATGAATTTATCCGGCATAAGACTTCACTTGCTGCTGAGAGGCTCGAGAAGCCCAAGACGATGACCAGTTTGTTCGAGGTTTTCTGGAATGAAATCTCTACCCAGCAGTATAATTTTGATCGCGTTACAAATAATGTCGCATATCTTATGAAGATTAATAAGGAGCAGATCATTAATTTCTTCAAGGTGAGTTTATATATCGTAATTTACTGAGGAATTGTGTGGATGATATTTTTGAAGGAGGATGAAGTTCAGGAATTAAACGTTTATAAAACGGAATTACGTTTTACCACTTGAGAGAGGCGCACATAAAATTGACACCTGAACAAAAAAAAAATTTTTTAATTCAATCCAATGACAACACGTGGAATAAATTTCTAATGATCCAATCCATCATCACAGAATGTGTCAAGAATTTTTTTCCATTCTTCATCATTTATTCCAAAGAAAAAAATATTTTTGCGTTCCCAATACAATTTATTCACTCGCGTTGGAAAACTTTTTTTGGCTTTCATTCTGTTAATCCTAGTATTTGCTTTTAGCATCTATATGATCACGTCCAGGAATATTGAATAAAAAAAAAATGATTTTTTCAGGGTATTGTTTACAACAAATCGCCATCTAAGCGCAAATTGTCAGTCCACGTGATTTCAACGGCAGAAGGTGGTGCTGGGAATGAAAAGAATATCAAGGATAACGGAGAAAAGAAAAAGAAACCAGGTGCAACTACTGCTACTAAAATAACGGACGTAATTGCCTTCAAAGCCAGTCAGTCATTGTATCCATTACTGAAACCTTACAACGATATCCCGAGGAAGGGACAGCGGTCTAAGCTGTAGCAATCCCTGCATTATTTCCATTATTAAATCAATTCGAATCATGTACAATAATGCAAGCAATTATGTAATTATTACATAAAGCGTATGATTTCGCACGTTACACGAATGGATTTCGTAACATTTTTGTTTTAATAAAAATATTTGAAATTTTAGACATTCGCTACCGTTTATTCTGTCATTTCTCATGAGCTTTATTTTTCATTTTTTTAAACAACGATGATCGTCGCTTCCGATGATGATTTTTTTACCTGAATTTTACATAGCTCATTACTGAGATACATTACTTATATTTATAATAACAACAT